TAGAAGATCAAATGTATATTAATAAACAAATAAAAGAACTAGAATATTTATATTATGACTTAGATTTAAATATAAGGATAGGAATAAGTAAAGAAAAAATAGAAGAAACAAGATCAAAAAGATCTGATTATAAAGAACTTATGGATGATGAAAATGTTTATAAATCTTTTGATGAGACACCTTTTGATAGAACCATAAAACATGAGACATTAACTTATGGATATGGTTATCCTCCAAGAGGAGCTTATAATAATTATAATAATCCACCAGAAAATACTAAATATGTTTCTAGAGGAAGTGAAAGACCATTAGAAAATAAAATAGAATTTCAAGCAACTAATAAAGCACAAATATTAAATATTACAGCACATGATCCACAGACATGGACAAATGTTATAGATGTATGGAAAAATACTATAATAGGACATTTTATTATAAATTTCTAAGAAATTGAACCTTTAGATATGTATAGGTATTTAGAAACATTTTTAGGAGAAAGTACTAAAGCAATGTTAGAAGCATTTAAAACAGAAAGAAAAGAAGAATTTGAACAATTAGTAAGCCTAAGAAGTAATCCTTATAATTTTGTTAATAAAATTCAAATATTAATTACTGGAGCATATCCTAATTCAGGACATATGAGTATACAAAGAAAAGCAATGAGAGACTTAGAACAAGCTAGAATGAATTTCTTGGGTTTGAAATGAACTTCGATTATCAAGATAATATTCTGGTAGACTATATTTGACATAATAACTATCTTTTGTAGCAGATTTATCAGTCTGCTGTGTCTGATTTTCTATTCTAGTAGAGGAATCAACAGTCCTCTGAGTCTATTGGGCTTTTGGCAAGTCCACAGCCTTTAACGAGTTTGATAAGTTTTTACCAGTTACCGTTTGAACTTGACTAACTATTGACTTCTTGGGCTCAATAGTACCTCTAGATAAACTAAGCTTTAACTCAATAATTTCTTTTTCAAGTTCTGTAATATTTCTTTGTAATGAAGATCTTTGTGTCATGAGATCATGGTTTGATTCATTAACTATACTAAAAATTTTTTGCATGCATTCACAATGACTATATATAACATGGTAGGAAGCGTAGTAGGATTGATCAATGACCTTTCTCATGAAGCGTACAATTGACAAGTTGTAAAATATTTTTTACTACTTTTTACTATACATTTTTTGGTACCCGATGCATGTGAGGATATTTTAGATTTTCAAATATACAAATAAATGGATGATCGACATATAATAAAAAAATAAAAAGGCAGAAGCTTCCAACTTTACACTGATAGCCATACCGATGTGCTCTCATCATCAGCACGCATATCAACAAAAGCGTACGTGATGCTCATAAATGTTAATGACGTGTATCGACAGAGTCAATAGTGGGAAAAAATCCGTAAATGAAGTTACTCGCAAAAGTATATTTACCAACTAATTTTTGTCTATAGAGGGTGAATGATGAATTCAAACATCTAAATGTAATACATCCTTATCTATATTGATTAATTCTAGAGTAGCACAATAGAGCGTTGCACCATGCACACACAGAGAAGCAATCAAAGAATACAATCAAAATTTGACATTTTGATTATTAAGAATGTGTGAAATGACAATTAAGACTCATTTAAAAAAATGCCGAGAAATAATTTAGATCAACAAACTCTTGATTCACAACTAAATGCCAGAATCTAATCGAAAAAATTTGAAATTTCTAAATCTTATTCAATAAATTACCGAAAAAACACAAGCTATATTGAGCGTTTAAATAATAAAACTACTAAGAGAAACCTAATTTCCGTAGATGATAAATGTACGAGCGAATAAAAATTAAGAATAAGAGAAGCAATAATGTAAGGTTGAAAGTTTGCAAGACCATGACCATCTCAATGCTTTGTCTAAGAATCGTATTAATCAACTTGATTCTTGAAAGTTGTCTTGAGACAATATATAGATGGCACCCAATTATTTTTCCACACACACACACACAAAATTCGTTGCCTACAATTCACCCTTTCCTATAATGGTATATACCTTCTTTATGAAAACAAAGAACTTTAAATATTATGTTCTTTGCTAGATTTGAAACTTTCAGTATATTGTTCATGCTTTGCAATATTTGGTTATACAAACTTTCCATTTTGCATACAAGTTCACTTATAAAAGAAAAAATGCATTTAGCTCAGGCCCATATCAAGTGGCCATATTGATTTTATTAAGCACTGCTTGCACTATCTATGATTGAAAATGATAATACATTCAATAATTAGGAATAAATTTTGGGTTGAAATTAATAATCGTGATGTCATTGTGATAGTGGTGAGTATTGAATCTTGTGAATTAACAAATCCTAATCTACTGAGTATTTATTTGATATACATCATTTGTGGTGCATAGATATTTTAATCTTGACTTCAGTCGACATTTATTATCGGTTGTATTACCGTATAGAAAGGGTTGTATTTTTGTAAAATATGAGAGGTTCCGTTATGCACAAATATGAAATGTCAGAATTTTGAATCAACCCAATTTAGGCCCTTATTTTTTTACATTTGAATGATTTCGAACCATTTGCTCAATAATTGTAATCACAAGTCTTCTAAACAATATTGCAATATTTTCCTATTTGTGTTGACAATATTAGCAGCATTTCAAATTTTCTTTTTCTTACATTTTGCCTTTAAAATTCTATTTTGTCTCCACTCAAAGCGTATTTTATCGTACTTTCTCCCAACCCTTGGAACATACTACAGCCCCAAGTGGCGAAGAGCCGACATCGAGGTGCCAAACCTTCCTGTCGATGTGAGCTGTTGGGGAGTCTCTGAAGGATGAGAACCAACTATATATATGCGTGTGTGTGTGTTTGTGTGTGTCGAAGTGAATGTTATTTAATAATAATTTAAGTAGCAACCAAAGTCTGTCGTAAATCTATAATGACAATCACGTCACTAAATTAATATTCATGTTACACCTCAATTATATATGGGCATGCTTCCACGTGCATGTTATCACAACTGAGTTTGTCATCAATTTGATGAGAAACAAATTCATGACAAAAGTTCAAAACGGGTAATTCAAGCCAAAAAAGAAAGCTCATAATGAATAATAATAATAAATTTTTTTTAACCGACATGTTGTTAGTCATACACCGTTTCACTAATATATGTGCTAGACATCAATTATAGTCATATTTGTTGCTAAAATCTATTTTATAATCAAAATGGATGAGTAATAAATCCAAAAGAAAGGTTCTAATTAGATAATTCGAGCTAAGTAAAATATTAATTCTCTTTTTAAATAGTCACATTGTATTATAACGTTTATAACTTATTTGAGTCATCGGTCATAAATAAGTTTCCATGTTATAAAAAAAATAATAATAATAAATTAAAAAAAAAAAAAAGCAATCTTCTCAAGACTAAACTACCAAGTCGACAATATAAATACACAGATAAATAATTAGACTTGTCTAGAGTTGAACGTGTAATATACTTTATAAGTGTTGTAAAAGTAATACTTGAAGATAGATATTAATCAAATAAATGTGAATATTAATTAATTGAGAATTAACAACAATTAAATACGTGCATGAACAAGAATTTTGTAGTATTTATTACAATTTTAATTGGGTTTCATGTGGTGAAAATTCACAAGGAAAATGAATCTATAAGTATACATTGATGGTAACTAAATAGTTGGCAAAATAATTCATAAAATATATTTTTTAAATAGTTAAAGCAAGTACGATACATAAATTAGCGTGCATATTAATTAATTTAAAATTAATACCAGAACGACAATGAATGTTAAATCATTTATAGTAAACGTATAAATCGGATGCTAATTAGCATGTTTGAAGGTGAATAATGATATAGATTCTTTAATGTGAAATTCTAATTAACTTATAATTAGAATTAAAACACTAAAATGCATAAATGGGGATGAATATTAATTAAATGAATGTTAATTTTAATTAATTGATAATTAATCAGGAAATTCATACATGACCAAGAATTTTACAGTATTTATTACGATTTGTAATTGAGTATCATGAGGTGAAAGCACATAAGTGAAATGAATCTATCAAATGCATATTGATTGTGACTAAATAGTTGGCAAAATAATTTATGATGATATTATCTAAATGGTTAAATAAATTAAATACATATTGAAAAACGAAAAATTTATTGAAATAATTGAATCGTGATGGGGAAAAGAAAGGACGATTCTATGATGATGATGATAATGTATTATAGTTGAAAATGAATACTAATTGAATGAATATAAATGTTAATTAACTGAGAATTAATAACATGAAGTACATGAACAAGGATTTTGTAGTATTTATTACAGTTTGTAACTGAATTTCATGTGTGAAGCACACAAGTGAAATGAATTTATCAAATGTACATTAATGATAACTAAATAATTGGCAAAATAATTTATAAAATATTGTTTAAATAGTTATATCAAATACTATACATGAATTAACGTGAATGTTAATTAATTTAAAATTAATATCAAAGAATATATACGTGATAATGAATGTTAAATCATTTATATTAAATGAATATAATTTAATTCTCAATTAAGTGAAATTATATGCTAATTAATATACATGGACCTGATTAATGAAATGCATTCTTGAATACTTTATTCTAATTAGAATAAAGTCACTTAACCAAGCTTAAAAATAGGAAGCGAAGAGATAAACTGTGTGTCAGAAAATGATTGGGTCTTTTGGTTTTAATATTTCAAATTGTCTAATCATACGTCGACACGTACCCTATTTGAATTTAATCTTGGATATGTAGCATGATTATTCTAAATAACTTATAATTATAATTAATAATATAAAATGCATAAATAAAGATGAATATTATTAAGTGAATATGAATGTTAATTAATTGATATTTAATATCAGAGAATTCATACATGAACAATAATTTTGTAGTATTTATTACCATTTGTAATTGAGTTTCATGTGGCAAAGCACATAAATGAAATGAATATGTCAAAAGTACATTGATGGTAATTAAATGGTTGGAAAAATAATTCATGATAATATTGTTCAAATTGTTAAATAAATTAAATCCTTATTGAGCCCCTGTTTGAGTCACATTATTCTAAAAATGAGAATGAAAAATATAATTGTTATAGGCTCCACACAAAAGATAAAAGTCAAATATGGTAATTTGATGTGATAGATAACGACCATATTTTTCATTTTAATAAGGAAATAATAGAGTTCAAACAGGGAAAATGAAAAGTAAAGTATCAATGAAATAATTGAATTGTAGTGTGGTTAGAATCGTTCACGAAAATTATTCTCACAAAAATTAGAGAGAGAGTCTACTAAAAAAATATTTTTTTTCCCCAAATCAATATGTTCAAAGGTAACCCTAAAAGTATATAACAAATAAAGATGACAATCGAGTCGACTTTGCCAAATTAATATTGGTGTTACACCTTAGTTATAGGCATGCATCCGCCGACTATTGCAACCGATTTTGTGACCAAAATTGATGAGAAAGAGATTCATAACAAAAGTTAAAAGTAGGTAATTCGAGTCAACAAAAGAATATATAATAAATAACAATCTTTATTTTAGATAGTTGTGTTGTTAGTTTCCATTAGGCTTCAATTAAGTCATGCTTCCAAGTGTTACAGAAACCGATTTTACGATCAAAATTAATGAGTAATAAATTCAAAAGAACTATTCAAAGTAGGTAATTCGAGCTAAACAAAAGATCAAAGATCAATTCTCTTTTTAAGCAGTTACGTTAGTAATCATGTTATAATGTTTTTGAATCGAATAACATTCATGCAAATTAATTCGCAAAATCCAAAAAAATAGTCTTCAAGACCAAGTATTTCACGGTAGAATATGTAATATGCATATTAGTATTTCAGATAAAGTACAACGATCAAGAATTACTTTGTGAATTCCAACATCAATGCTTGGTAGCTAAGATTACATAATGAATTTTTTTGTTTTAAGAAATAAGTTGATTAATGACATTACAATTTAATTTAATTTCAAGAAAAATAGAAATAAATAAATTAAACCCAGAATAATTAGGTGAGTTGAAATTAAAACAATGTAGGACTAGAGCATTACCACGTTGACTTCATCCAATCATGGGAATCTACGAAACTTTCGGGTCGGGTCATCGTATCAGTGTCCGAACGAAAAGCCTTAGCCCCTTAGCCCCCAGTTCACACATATACATACATGAGATGTAAGTGAATACGACCTTGTTGTCCTCAAGTGTCGTGCATGCATTTTGTGCACTTGTTCCGTTTGCATGCACTCGCGCTTTCTCTCTCTCTATATTCCCATCGTCTCTGTTTTCTCACTCTAGACCTGTAAATACACATATCTGTATCGTTGTGTCTATTCAGTTTAATTTAATTGAATTTAAACTCTGCCGAAAACAGAAGCCCCACCTGGGTCATTGACTACCAACCGCCGCCGAAAGCAGCCCGTTGTTTTCTGGGCTCTCTTATGTACTCCAAGGTATGAAATCTGTGATATAAGCATTTCAAGATATGGGTTTGTGTTTTCTTTAGATATTCACATTTGGACGTTGAATTTGCTTGATTTGAATGAAGTAGATTTATCATGGGTTTATTTTTAGTCGATTTGGATTTTTCGAATTGTGTCTTTCTCATGGGTTAAAAATATTTTCTTGATTTGGTTTTAGGGTTTTGATTCTGGTGTGTTTGATTGGGATTTTGTAGGGTTTATGATTGAAGGAATGAGTTTTGTTGAAATGGGGTCAAGGATTTGCATGAATGAGGTTTGCCGTACAACGACGTCGTCTGAATGGAAGAAAGGTTGGGTCTTGAAATCAGGTGGATTTGCTACCCTTTGTAACAAATGCGGGTAATTCCAATTATAGCCCTGCTCGATTCAAAATTTCCACTTCCTCATCGTTATTAAAGTTGATTTCAGTTTTTGAGGGGTAGTTTGGGGATGTGCAATTTGGATCCCTGAAATGTGAGATTTTTGTTTGATCAAAGTGTAATTCTTGCATTTGAATTCCTGTTGACTCTTTTATTGTAATTTTTCGAAGTTTGACTCATTAAGATGGGTCATTGAATTATTTAATTCCCCATTATAGTAATTGCTATAACAATTCAAATCTACGCAGGCATAGTAATGATTTAGAAATCGGGCAAAGCGAAAACAAGTCTAATGGTTCGAGGTTATTGTTGTACTTGTATAATTAGCTTGAGTTTATTCATAAAATTCTAACATCTGTTTCTATTTTACCAAGGAGAAAGAACCGATTGATTTAATTTTGTAGTCTTATTGGTCTGTTATGTATCTTTGTTATCTGCTGCATTTAATGCCCATCATTTCTTTTACATGTTATCCATTCTAATACTCTTGATTGGTTGATTAACCCAAAATTTTCATACATTCAAAGACACTTGTTTGAATGGCTTCATAAGGTATAATCATTGATTTGAATGTGAATGTCATCACTCCCATTATTGTTAGAAATTGGTGTAGTTGTACTTATCTGCTCAGATAACGACTCGGAAGCAATATCTATTGAATTTGCTTCCTGTTGACTGACTTATTTGTTCTGTGAAAATTCATTTAAATAGCCATATTCACTCATTCCTTACTTGGCTTGACCTTGTCTGGATTTCAGATCTGCTTATGAGCATTCAGTTTACTGTGAAACATTCCATCCGGATGAATCTGGTTGGAGGCAATGCAGTATATGTGGAAAGGTAATAAAAGTTTGAAATCGTTCCATTCGTACTTCACTTTCTTTCCATTTTGATCCTACTCTATTGAATTTTTTGTGTCAGCGTATCCATTGTGGATGCATTGCTTCGAGAGATTTGCACGAGTACATGGATTCTGGAGGCATAGGGTGCATAAACTGTGTTAAGAGTTCGGAAATTCATTCAATGCGATCAATGCAGGTAATTAGTCATTGGAATTTGCATTGTGCAAGAATTATTTTCTAATGATGCAATGCATACACGAATCAGAGGATCACCTTTTCGCATGTCATGCATATTTTTCTGTATTACAAGCATTTGTCTTTATGAATTCATGCAATGTAGTTGATAATAGTATAGTTGAAAGACGAAAAGGGAAATATATATTGAAGTTGATTGACTGCTTGTTTGGCTAAGCTTCAAAAATACGTAAACTTACTGTCAAAAAAATAAATTATGATTTTAAAATCCAAAAAGAAAGTAACTTTTGGAAAACCTTAAACATGTTTAGCAAAATAGAGTTACTTACCTAGAAGTGACTTTTTTGGCTCAGCCAAACATGCTGTAGATTATGCTGTCAATCATAGTCATTAGCATTGGTTTTCACTCACATCTAGGTCATTCCTCTAGATGGGCTAGTTGAAAATTATATTCCTTGTTGCATCCTATTTGTCCCTTAATTTTCTGAATTTGAATCTCATTTACCCTTTTGACATATGTTTTGATCATTCTTTGCTGGTGTGTGACACATTTTGTATTTTAGTATCAAGAGCCATATTGGTTCTTAGATTATTCTAAAATTTTCCTGCAGATCCATGGTGATGACATTCCTAATGCTACATTTATGACAAATGGTACTGGAGCTGCGCAACTCATGGTGGTTGAAAATAGAAAGGATGATGATAATTATGGTTTTGAGAGGCTCCTACATTTGGCGAGGACTACAGGTGCCAGTAAAATTGGGCAACTCTCTCACTCTCATCAAGATGGTTTAAATGCAGCCCTTTCCGCGACCGACAATACATGCTTTGGGAATCTCTCCCAAAAGTTGACTGGCTCTTCTGCGTTTATGAGAACAGACTATAGGAGACCAATGCATGGGGCTAAAGAATTGTATGAACCTTTGAACCAGCCGTCTCTAAATTTCTCTTTGAGGCCTTCTTTAGTTACTTCGAAACCCATGCCACATTTTCCTAGTGGAATTGTTGAAGGAAGTCAATTGAACATACGGGGGCCAAGGGCACGCGATATTTTGCCAAAGCCCCCAAAACCTAGTCCTGTTTTGGGTACTGAGACAAAAAAAGGAACTGCTTCACAGACACGTGTTGCGAGGCCTCCAGCTGAAGGGCGGGGCCGCAATCAGTTACTTCCTCGATACTGGCCAAAGATCACAGACCAAGAACTGAAGCAACTATCTGGAGAGTATCCAAAATAATTTATTATGCAGTTTTGTAATGCTCTTTTTAAATTGATATGCCATAATGTGATTGACTCTGGTAATCACCTGTCTGCTTCTAAGTGTTTAATTTAGCGTAAATTGCACCCTTCATCCCCCAACCTATTGTCTCAATGGCAAGTTAGTCTTCAATGTTTAACAATGAGCAAGTTGTTTCCAACCATTCATTAGAGTTAGACAATCAGTCCCCAATGATGGAATCATACGTCACTTCAAATTTCTGGTACTAGTCAAAGTTAGAATTTAACAAAGACTGAGTGTGTTTCCATTGCTGGGGTTGACAAAAAACATGAGACATTAACTTATGGATATGGTTATCCTCCAAGAGGAGCTTATAATAATTATAATAATCCACCAGAAAATACTAAATATGTTTCTAGAGGAAGTGAAAGACCATTAGAAAATAAAATAGAATTTCAAGCAACTAATAAAGCACAAATATTAAATATTACAGCACATGATCCACAGACATGGACAAATGTTATAGATGTATGGAAAAATACTATAATAGGACATTTTATTATAAATTTCTAAGAAATTGAACCTTTAGATATGTATAGGTATTTAGAAACATTTTTAGGAGAAAGTACTAAAGCAATGTTAGAAGCATTTAAAACAGAAAGAAAAGAAGAATTTGAACAATTAGTAAGCCTAAGAAGTAATCCTTATAATTTTGTTAATAAAATTCAAATATTAATTACTGGAGCATATCCTAATTCAGGACATATGAGTATACAAAGAAAAGCAATGAGAGACTTAGAACAAGCTAGAATGAATTTCTTGGGTTTGAAATGAACTTCGATTATCAAGATAATATTCTGGTGGACTATATTTGACATAATAACTATCTTTTGTAGCAGATTTATCAGTCTGCTGTGTCTGATTTTCTATTCTAGTAGAGGAATCAACAGTCGTCTGAGTCTATTGGGCTTTTGGCAAGTCCACAGCCTTTAACGAGTTTAATAAGTTTTTACCAGTTACCGTTTGAACTTGACTAGCTATTGACTTCTTGGGCTCAATAGTACCTCTAGATAAACTAAAAACATGAGACATTAACTTATGGATATGGTTATCCTCCAAGAGGAGCTTATAATAATTATAATAATCCACCAGAAAATACTAAATATGTTTCTAGAGGAAGTGAAAGACCATTAGAAAATAAAATAGAATTTCAAGCAACTAATAAAGCACAAATATTAAATATTACAGCACATGATCCACAGACATGGACAAATGTTATAGATGTATGGAAAAATACTATAATAGGACATTTTATTATAAATTTCTAAGAAATTGAACCTTTATATATGCATAGGTATTTAGAAACATTTTTAGGAGAAAGTACTAAAGCAATGTTAGAAGCATTTAAAACAGAAAGAAAAGAAGAATTTGAACAATTAGTAAGCCTAAGAAGTAATCCTTATAATTTTGTTAATAAAATTCAAATATTAATTACTGGAGCATATCCTAATTCAGGACATATGAGTATACAAAGAAAAGCAATGAGAGACTTAGAACAAGCTAGAATGAATTTCTTGGGTTTGAAATGAACTTCGATTATCAAGATAATATTCTGGTGGACTATATTTGACATAATAACTATCTTTTGTAGCAGATTTATCAGTCTGCTGTGTCTGATTTTCTATTCTAGTAGAGGAATCAACAGTCCTCTGAATCTATTGGGCTTTTGGCAAGTCCACAGCTTTTAACGAGTTTGATAAGTTTTTACCAGTTACCGTTTGAACTTGACTAACTACTGACTTCTTGGGCTCAATAGTACCTCTAGATAAACTAAGCTTTAACTCAATAATTTCTTTTTCAAGTTCTGTAATATTTCTTTGTAATGAAGATCTTTGTGTCATGAGATCATGGTTTGATTCATTAACTATACTAAAATTTTTTTGCATGCATTCACAATGACTATATATAACATGGTAGGAAGCGTAGTAGGATTGATCAATGACCTTTCTCATGAAGCGTACAATTGACAAGTTGTAAAATATTTTTTACTACTTTTTACTATACATTTTTTGGTACCCGATGCATGTGAGGATATTTTAGATTTTCAAATATACAAATAAATGGATGATCGACATATAATAAAAAAATAAAAAGGCAGAAGCTTCCAACTTTACACTGATAGCCATACCGATGTGCTCTCATCATCAGCACGCATATCAACAAAAGCGTACGTGATGCTCATAAATGTTAATGACGTGTATCGACAGAGTCAATAGTGGGAAAAAATCCGTAAATGAAGTTACTCGCAAAAGTATATTTACCAACTAATTTTTGTATATAGAGGGTGAATGATGAATTTAAACATCTAAATGTAATACATCCTTATCTATATTGATTAATTTTAGCGTAGCACTATAGAACGTTGCACCGTGCACCCACAGAGAAGCAATCAAAGAATACAATCAAAATTTGACATTTTGATTATTAAGAATGTGTGAAATGACAATTAAGACTCATTTAAAAAAATGCCGAGAAATAATTTAGATCAACAAACTCTTGATTCACAACTAAATGCCAGAATCTAATCGAAAAAATTTGAAATTTCTAAATCTTATTCAATAAATTACCGAAAAAACACAAGCTATATTGAGCGTTTGAATAATAAAACCTACTAAGAGAAACCTAATTTAGTAAAAGACCTAATTTCCGTAGATGATAAATGTTCAAGTGAATAAAAATTAAGAATAAGAGAAGCAATAATGTAAGGTTGAAAATTTGCAAGACCATGACCATCTCAATGCTTTGTATAAGAATCGTATTAATCAACTTGATTCTTGAAAGTTGTCTTGAGACAATATATAAATAGCGCCCAATTATTTTTCCACACACACACGAAATTCCTTGCCTACAATTCACCCTTTCCTAAAATGGTATATACCTTCTTTATGAAAACAAGGAATTTTAAATATGATGTTCCTTGCTAAATTTGAAACTTTCAGTCTATTGTTCACGCTTTGCAATATTTGGTTATACAAACTTTCCTTTTTGTATACAAGTTCACTTATAAAAGGAAAAATGCATTTAGCTCAGGCCATATCAAGTGGCCATATTGATTTTATTAAGCACTGCTTGCACTATTTATGATTGAAAATGATAATACGTTCAATAATTAGGGATAAATTTTGGGTTGAAATTAATAATCGTGATGTCATTGTGATAGTGGTGAGTATCGAATCTTGCGAATTAACAAATCCTAATCTACTGAGTATTTATTTGATATACGTCATTTGTGGTGCATAGATATTTTAATCTTTACTTCAGTCGACATTTATTATCGGTTGTATTACCGTATAGAAAGGGTTGTATTTTTGTAAAATATGAGAGGTTCCGTTATGCACAAATATGAAATGTCAGAATTTTGAATCAACCCAATTTAGGCCCTTATTTTTTTACATTTGAATGATTTCGAACCATTTGCTCAATGATTGTAATCACAAGTCTTCTAAACAATATTGCAATATTTTCCTATTTGGGTTAACAATATTAGCAGCATTTCAAATTTTCTTTTGCTTACATTTTGCCTTTAAAATTCTATTTTGTCTCCACTCAAAGCATATTTTATCGTACTTTCTCCCAACCCTTGGAACATACTACAGCCCCAGGTGGCGAAGAGCCGACATCGAGGTGCCAAACCTTCTTGTCGATGTGAGCTGTTGGGGAGTCTCTGAAGGATGAGAACCAACTATATATATGCGTATGTGTGTGTTTGTGTGTGTCGAAGTGAATGTTATTTAATAATAATTTAAGTAGCAACCAAAGTCTGTCGTAAATCTATAATGACAATCACGTCACAAAATTAATATTCATGTTACACCTCAATTATATATGGGCATGCTTCCACGTGCATGTTATCACAACTGAGTTTGTCATCAATTTGATGAGAAACAAATTCATGACAAAAGTTCAAAACGGGTAATTCAAGCCAAAAAAGAAAGCTCATAATGAATAATAATAATAATTTTTTTTTTAACCGACATGTTGTTAGTCATACACCGTTTCACTAATATCTGTGCTAGACATCAATTATAGTCATATTTGTTGATAAAATCTATTTTATAATCAAAATGGATGAGTAATAAATTCAAAAGAAAGGTTCTAATTAGATAATTCGAGCTAAGTAAAATATTAATTCTCTTTTTAAATAGTCACATTGTATTATAACGTTTATAACTTATTTGAGTCATCGGTCATAAATAAGTTTCCATGTTATAAAAATAATAATAATAAATTTAAAAAAAAAAAAGAAAAAAAAAAGGTAATCTTCTCAAGACTAAACTACCAAGTCGACAATATAAATACACAGATAAATAATAAGACTTGTCTAGAGTTGAACGTGTAATATACTTTATAAGTGTTGTAAAAGTAATACTTGAAGATAAATATTAATCAAATAAATGTGAATATTAATTAATTGAGAATTAACAACAATTGAATACGTGCATGAACAAGAATTTTGTAGTATTTATTGCAAATTTAATTGGGTTTCATGTGGTGAAAATTCACAAGGAAAATGAATTTATAAGTATACATTGATGGTAACTAAATAGTTGGCAAAATAATTCATAAAATATTTTTTTTAAATAGTTAAAGCAAGTACGATACATAAATTAGCGTGCATATTAATTAATTTAAAATTAATACCAGAACGACAATGAATGTTAAATCATTTATACTAAACGTATATATCGGATGCTAATTAGCATCTTTGAAGGTGAATAATGATATAGATTCTTTAATGTGAAATTCTAATTAACTTATAATTAGAATTAAAACACTAAAATGCATAAATGGGGATGAATATTAATTAAATGAATGTTAATTTTAATTAATTGATAATTAATCAGGAAATTCATACATGACCAAGAATTTTACAGTATTTATTACGATTTGTAATTGAGTATCATGAGGTGAAAGCACATAAGTGAAATGAATCTATCAAATGCATATTGATTGTGACTAAATAGTTGGCAAAATAATTTATGATGATATTATCTAAATGGTTAAATAAATTAAATACATATTGAAAAACGAAAAATTTATTGAAATAATTGAATCGTGGTGGGGAAAAGAAAGGACGATTCTATGATGATGATGATAATGTATTATAGTTGAAAATGAATACTAATTGAATGAATATAAATGTTAATTAACTGAGAATTAATAACATGAAATACATGAACAAGGATTTTGTAGTATTTATTACAGTTTGTAACTGAATTTCATGTGTGAAGCACACGAGTGAAATGAATTTATCAAATGTACATTAATGATAACTAAATAATTGGCAAAATAATTTATAAAATATTGTTTAAATAGTTATATCAAATACTTTACATGAAATAACGTGAATGTTAATTAATTTAAAATTAATATCAAAGAATATATACGTGATAATGAATGTTAAATCATTTATATTAAATGAATATAATTTAATTCTCAATTAAGTGAAATTATATGCTAATTAATATACATGGACGTGATTAATGAAATGCATTCTTGAATACTTTATTCTAATTAGAATAAAGTCACTTAACCAAACTTAAAAATAGGAAGCGAAGAGATAAACTGTGTGTCAGAAAATGATTGGGTCTTTTGGTTTTAATATTTCAAATTGTCTAATCATACGTCGATACGTGCCCTATTTGAATTTAATCTTGGATATGTAGCATGATTATTCTAAATAACTTATAATTATAATTAATAATATAAAATGCATAAATAAAGATGAATATTATTAAGTGAATATGAATGTTAATTAATTGATATTTAATATCAGAGAATTCATACATGAACAATAATTTTGTAGTATTTATTACCATTTGTAATTGAGTTTCATGTGGCAAAGCACATAAATGAAATGAATATGTCAAAAGTACATTGATGGTAATTAAATGGTTGGAAAAATAATTCATGATAATATTGTTCAAATTGTTAAATAAATTAAATCCTTATTGAGCCCCTGTTTGAGTCACATTATTCTAAAAATGAGAATGAAAAATATAATTGTTATAGGCTCCACACAAAAGATAAAAGTCAAATATGGTAATTTGATGTGATAGATAACGACCATATTTTTCATTTTAATAAGGAAATAATAGAGTTCAAACAGGGAAAATGAAAAGTAAAGTATCAATGAAATAATTGAATTGTAGTGTGGTTAGAATCGTTCACGAAAATTATTCTCACAAAAATTAGAGAGAGAGTCTACTAAAAAAATATTTTTTTTCCCCAAATCAATATGTTCAAAGGTAACCCTAAAAGTATATAACAAATAAAGATGACAATCGAGTCGACTTTGCCAAATTAATATTGGTGTTACACCTTAGTTATAGGCATGCATCCGCCGACTATTGCAACCGATTTTGTGACCAAAATTGATGAGAAAGAGATTCATAACAAAAGTTAAAAGTAGGTAATTCGAGTCAACAAAAGAATATATAATAAATAACAATCTTTATTTTAGATAGTTGTGTTGTTAGTTTCCATTAGGCTTCAATTAAGTCATGCTTCCAAGTGTTACAGAAACCGATTTTACGATCAAAATTAATGAGTAATAAATTCAAAAGAACTATTCAAAGTAGGTAATTCGAGCTAAACAAAAGATCAAAGATCAATTCTCTTTTTAAGCAGTTACGTTAGTAATCATGTTATAATGTTTTTGAATCGAATAACATTCATGCAAATTAATTCGCAAAATCCAAAAAAATAGTCTTCAAGACCAAGTATTTCACGGTAGAATATGTAATATGCATATTAGTATTTCAGATAAAGTACAACGATCAAGAATTACTTTGTGAATTCCAACATCAATGCTTGGTAGCTAAGATTACATAATGAATTTTTTTGTTTTAAGAAATAAGTTGATTAATGACATTACAATTTAATTTAATTTCAAGAAAAATAGAAATAAATAAATTAAACCCAGAATAATTAGGTGAGTTGAAATTAAAACAATGTAGGACTAGAGCATTACCACGTTGACTTCATCCAATCATGGGAATCTACGAAACTTTCGGGTCGGGTCATCGTATCAGTGTCCGAACGAAAAGCCTTAGCCCCTTAGCCCCCAGTTCACACATATACATACATGAGATGTAAGTGAATACGACCTTGTTGTCCTCAAGTGTCGTGCATGCATTTTGTGCACTTGTTCCGTTTGCATGCACTCGCGCTTTCTCTCTCTCTATATTCCCATCGTCTCTGTTTTCTCACTCTAGACCTGTAAATACACATATCTGTATCGTTGTGTCTATTCAGTTTAATTTAATTGAATTTAAACTCTGCCGAAAACAGAAGCCCCACCTGGGTCATTGACTACCAACCGCCGCCGAAAGCAGCCCGTTGTTTTCTGGGCTCTCTTATGTACTCCAAGGTATGAAATCTGTGATATAAGCATTTCAAGATATGGGTTTGTGTTTTCTTTAGATATTCACATTTGGACGTTGAATTTGCTTGATTTGAATGAAGTAGATTTATCATGGGTTTATTTTTAGTCGATTTGGATTTTTCGAATTGTGTCTTTCTCATGGGTCAAAAATATTTTCTTGATTTGGTTTTAGGGTTTTGATTCTGGTGTGTTTGATTGGGATTTTGTAGGGTTTATGATTGAAGGAATGAGTTTTGTTGAAATGGGGTCAAGGATTTGCATGAATGAGGTTTGCCGTACAACGACGTCGTCTGAATGGAAGAAAGGTTGGGTCTTGAAATCAGGTGGATTTGCTACCCTTTGTAACAAATGCGGGTAATTCCAATTATAGCCCTGCTCGATTCAAAATTTCCACTTCCTCATCGTTATTAAAGTTGATTTCAGTTTTTGAGGGGTAGTTTGGGGATGTGCAATTTGGATCCCTGAAATGTGAGATTTTTGTTTGATCAAAGTGTAATTCTTGCATTTGAATTCCTGTTGACTCTTTTATTGTAATTTTTCGAAGTTTGACTCATTAAGATGGGTCATTGAATTATTTAATTCCCCATTATAGTAATTGCTATAACAATTCAAATCTACGCAGGCATAGTAATGATTTAGAAATCGGGCAAAGCGAAAACAAGTCTAATGGTTCGAGGTTATTGTTGTACTTGTATAATTAGCTTGAGTTTATTCATAAAATTCTAACATCTGTTTCTATTTTACCAAGGAGAAAGAACCGATTGATTTAATTTTGTAGTCTTATTGGTCTGTTATGTATCTTTGTTATCTGCTGCATTTAATGCCCATCATTTCTTTTACATGTTATCCATTCTAATACTCTTGATTGGTTGATTAACCCAAAATTTTCATACATTCAAAGACACTTGTTTGAATGGCTTCATAAGGTATAATCATTGATTTGAATGTGAATGTCATCACTCCCATTATTGTTAGAAATTGGTGTAGTTGTACTTATCTGCTCAGATAACGACTCGGAAGCAATATCTATTGAATTTGCTTCCTGTTGACTGACTTATTTGTTCTGTGAAAATTCATTTAAATAGCCATATTCACTCATTCCTTACTTGGCTTGACCTTGTCTGGATTTCAGATCTGCTTATGAGCATTCAGTTTACTGTGAAACATTCCATCCGGATGAATCTGGTTGGAGGCAATGCAGTATATGTGGAAAGGTAATAAAAGTTTGAAATCGTTCCATTCGTACTTCACTTTCTTTCCATTTTGATCCTACTCTATTGAATTTTTTGTGTCAGCGTATCCATTGTGGATGCATTGCTTCGAGAGATTTGCACGAGTACATGGATTCTGGAGGCATAGGGTGCATAAACTGTGTTAAGAGTTCGGAAATTCATTCAATGCAATCAATGCAGGTAATTAGTCATTGGAATTTGCATTGTTCAAGAATTATTTTCTAATGATGCAATGCATACACGAATCAGAGGATCACCTTTTCGCATGTCATGCATATTTTTCTGTATTACAAGCATTTGTCTTTATGAATTCATGCAATGTAGTTGATAATAGTATAGTTGAAAGACGAAAAGGGAAATATATATTGAAGTTGATTGACTGCTTGTTTGGCTAAGCTTCAAAAATACGTAAACTTACTGTCAAAAAAATAAATTATGATTTTAAAATCCAAAAAGAAAGTAACTTTTGGAAAACCTTAAACATGTTTAGCAAAATAGAGTTACTTACCTAGAAGTGACTTTTTTGGCTCAGCCAAACATGCTGTAGATTATGCTGTCAATCATAGTCATTAGCATTGGTTTTCACTCACATCTAGGTCATTCCTCTAGATGGGCTAGTTGAAAATTATATTCCTTGTTGCATCCTATTTGTCCCTTAATTTTCTGAATTTGAATCTCATTTACCCTTTTGACATATGTTTTGACCATTCTTTGCTGGTGTGTGACACATTTTGTATTTTAGTATCAAGAGCCATATTGGTTCTTAGATTATTCTAAAATTTTCTTGCAGATCCATGGTGATGACATTCCTAATGCTACATTTATGACAAATGGTACTGGAGCTTCGCAACTCATGGTGGTTGAAAATAGAAAGGATGATGATAATTATGGTTTTGAGAGGCTCCTACATTTGGCGAGGACTACAGGAGCCAGTAAAATTGGGCAACTCTCTCACTCTCATCAAGATGGTTTAAATGCAGCCCTTTCCGCGACCGACAATACATGCTTTGGGAATCTCTCCCAAAAGTTGACTGGCTCTTCTGCGTTTATGAGAACAGACTATAGGAGACCAATGCATGGGGCTAAAGAATTGTATGAACCTTTGAACCAGCCGTCTCTAAATTTCTCTTTGAGGCCTTCTTTAGTTACTTCGAAACCCATGCCACATTTTCCTAGTGGAATTGTTGAAGGAAGTCAATTGAACATACGGGGGCCAAGGGCACGCGATATTTTGCCAAAGCCCCCAAAACCTAGTCCTGTTTTGGGTACTGAGACAAAAAAAGGAACTGCTTCACAGACACGTGTTGCGAGGCCTCCAGCTGAAGGGCGGGGCCGCAATCAGTTACTTCCTCGATACTGGCCAAAGATCACAGACCAAGAACTGAAGCAACTATCTGGAGAGTATCCAAAATAATTTATTATGCAGTTTTGTAATGCTCTTTTTAAATTGATATGCCATAATGTGATTGACTCTGGTAATCACCTGTCTGCTTCTAAGTGTTTAATTTAGCGTAAATTGCACCCTTCATCCCCCAACCTATTGTCTCAATGGCAAGTTAGTCTTCAATGTTTAACAATGAGCAAGTTGTTTCCAACCATTCATTAGAGTTAGACAATCAGTCCCCAATGATGGAATCATACGTCACTTCAAATTTCTGGTACTAGTCAAAGTTAGAATTTAACAAAGACTGAGTGTGTTTCCATTGCTGGGGTTGACAAAGCAACTACAATGGAAGATTGGAACTGCTCCAGTATTAAAGTTGGGAGTTAACTTGCTAAAGGGACAATTTTCCCTTTTTAATTTATATCCAGTATATGCCTTAACTGTCATCTCTAGTTTGAAATCCACTATCGTTCCATTGTTTGAGAAGGTTCTGAGTGCAAGTGATGCTGGTCGAATTGGTCGTCTGGTCCTCCCTAAAGCATGTGCTGAAGTGAGCTTTTTTTTTTTTTCATCAGACAATGTCCCTAACAAGCATGTTATTTCGAACTTGGGAAGGTCCATACTTTCTTTGTTTTGCTCTTGTTTTTTTGAATATTTAAATATTATGTTATGCAGGCATACTTCCCTCATATTAATCAATCAGAAGGTATACCGATTAGGATTCAGGACATAAAGGGAAAGGAGTGGACATTTCAATTCAGATTTTGGCCCAATAATAATAGTCGGATGTATGTCTTGGAGGGTGTGACCCCTTGCATCCAAAATATGCAAGTACAAGCTGGTGATACAGGTATCTTCTTCCAACTCGTTTGTATATTAGCTATTTCTCTATTATGGAGTACCACCATTGCCATTTTTTCCGACTACGGTTGATTTTATTGTTCCGCAAGGGTGATTCGCTGCATCTAGCGATTTTTCTTGCTATGCATACCTGTGGACATACTCATTTACTTTTTCTACTTGTATCACTACAACTGTTTATAGTTATTTAATAATCTCAAACAAAACTTTCCATAATATTTTGAGACACTGCCAGTAGTTTTTATGTCAATTGAGAGAGAGAGAGAGATAGAGAGAGAGAGAGAGAGAACCTTTTTTACTGCCCACTTATTTTGGTGCATGACAGCTAAAGATCTTCTAAGTTGCTATTAAATCACTGGCTTCCTTTAATGCTTATGGTGATATTGATTAGGAAATTCATAACGTTTTAGGTTATCTCTTTGGGATCTTTTTGGCCCCCTTCTTAGCATGCATTCTGTCTTTGGTGCAGTAACGTTCAGTCGGATAGATCCTGGGGATCAACTTGTCATAGGATGTCGAAAGGTTACAGACAATGTTGATACTCAGGTCAAACTTCTTAAGCAATGCTCTAATTTGAATTTGGTTTTATTTTCTTAACTGTGTGAAATAGCTGATAAGTTTCCTTGCAAACAATTAGGATCCCCAAACACCTGCACTTCCAAATGATGATTCTCCTGGAGAATCATCTTTTTCTGGTCCTACAGACAATCTGCTTTCAGTAAGTTGTCATTATTGTTTCGAATTTATTGCTTTTTTAATTTTACTTAAACATTTTATTAATTGAGATACTCCTTGGTTTGTGAAAATCGGGAAGAACGGAGCTAAAACAAGTGATGAGTCCATGCAACAGAATAAACCCGCATCAGAGAAGAAGAAAACCCGAAATATGAAAAATAAGAGGCTCCTCATGCATAATGAGGATGCTATGGAGTTGCGGATAACGTGGGAAGAAGCACAGGATTTGCTTCGCCCCTCTCCAACTGTCCAACCCACAATTGTCATGATCGAGGACCATGCATTTGAGGAATATGATGTAAATAAAGTTTTTGTCTTGAACTTTTCTTTTCGTTACAGGACCATGTTGTTTATATGCTTCTTAAATTCTATTAGCATGTTTGGCTAAGCTTGAAAAGAAGTAAAAGCACTTTTGTGGAAAGTAAGTACAGACTCAATAAAAGTTAGTTTTGAACTTAAAATGTCAAAAAAAAAAAAAAAAGAAAATTCTAAAACGCTTGAACGATTCTTGATATAATAGTAAGTAACGTTTAAGCGAAGCCAAACATGCTCTTAATGCTACTGTTAGGGTTTTGCGAAGCTTCAGTTTCAGCCTTTAGGGTAACCTTTATGTTGCTTTATGTATTAATCCTGTTTTTCTATCTAGGAACCGCCGGTTTTTGGAAAGAGGACAATTTTTACATCTCAACATTCTGGGTAAGGAACTTTATTTGTTTATTCTTTCTAATATTTTAGGGATATAATTCAACCATTTAAGTCTTGTCTACATTTGGCTGTTTTTGTGTGTCTATTATGTTTTTGCAAGTTCACCAGTCTCTTGTCAAAACTCGTTGCTGAGCTTATCATCATATGCATAAACTATGAAAAGCTGAAGAAAGGATGTGAAAAAGAACGCATGATGACTTTGAGTTTCCTCTGGTTCCAATGATAAGATTGGTGAATAAAATGTAGTCAAAATAGTTGAAATATTTATGATACTTCTATATATATGATGTCAGCTGTATTTATACACTGGCTAGATGATATGTTGAATATGCTTATCAGGGAGCAGGAACAATTGGCTCAATGTGACATTTGCTCAAAATGGCGGAGGTTGCCTGTGCATGTTCTTCTTCCTGCTAAGTGGACATGTTCAGAGAATATATGGGACTCAAATAGGTTTGCAAATTTTGATTTTTATTAGAATTTATTTTTGGCAAAAAATAATGCAATAAATGAAGATGTTGCCAAGTGCATGTTTGGTAAAGCATATAATTGCTTACAAGTCGATCAAACTCTATTTTTATCCACCCATTCCACATGACCCACAACTTTTACCTTCTTCTAACCACTTATTTTCCCCACATTTTGTAGGGTCTATGGCTTATAATCTAATAAAGATTTGCCAAAAATACTCTAATTAATTTTATGTTTTCCCATAAACTAGCTGTGTTGCTGCTAATATAACTGGTGAACTATTTTATATAGTTGAACTAGATATATAGGATCAGCCCTCCTCCGTTGACTTTTGTGGATCTTGATTAAATCAGATTTTTTTAATAAATTATTATAATTTGTTTCCAGGTCTTCATGTTCTGTTCCGGAGGACATAAATTCAAGTGATCTGAGTGCTGCTTTTAGAGTTTGCAAGGGTATGAAATAGGGCTCCCTATAATTTATACAG